GCTTGCAATAAAATTCTAGACCACATTATTTTAACCCTGTTTGAATAAGCATAAATGAGGTTAAAATCATCTTGATAACAATAAACCCGCATCATTTTTATATGGAAATGTGCATGACAGCTTGGAGCACCTTTTCTTGGCATCAATAAGTGCCATCATGTAAAACTTTTTAAAAAAATTAATTCGTTATTAGAATATAAATTTTATTTTTAAAATATATTATTTTTTATATAAAAAAATGTGTGTAAAATGATAGTGGGTGCAAGTACCTCCACTATTGTGCCTCCACTATCCTCAATGTACATTTGTCCCTATATATATATATATTGGTTATCATGTTTTTTATTAGAAGATTAAACGAATCAATCTGACTTACTTAAATTTAAATCCTTTTGACTTATAAGTTAAGTTTGTCGAGTTAAAATTTAATTAAGATTGAATAATTTTTTTTCCTAACCCAATCTTATTCAAACCTATGATGAATCAAATTGATCCACCATATTTAACTAATTTTAATTAAGTCCTAAATCTTAAATCCTAAACACCTTTAAATCTGCTCTAATATTGTAATTCCACTCACGCAAAAAAAGAATATTGCTGATAAAGTAATAATCTTACTCAATTTTTTTTATAAATACCCCCTAATAACCTTATTCAGTTTTTTAAAGAGGCATTTCTTTTTTAAATACAAGTACGAGGACAAATATTGTAGCATTCTATCCACCGTCTCCCCCCATCAAGATAAAAATAATAAAACAGAATTTATTCATGCACAATGCTTTATCATGCGACTGGTTATTCGCGGCCTTTTCTCTAAACGCGTGGATGGATTCATCAACACTGCATTTATTGATCCAATTATATTTTTATAAAGCCATAGATTAGCGTTAAAGACATTTGAATTATAATCCCTATTATCAGTGAAATAATTGAATTAAATCATAATTATATCTAATGGTATCGAAGCATCTTTGAGCATGATTATGGCTATATTCGGTTTCCCGTGTAAATTTTGAAATGATTGGAAATTGAATGGCTTTCTCATACAAAGTTGTTTGCTTGGATGGTTTCATTACAAAGTTGACGACAGAAATAATGAGACAGAATAATGATACAAAACATTTACGCATTTCGGCATTTCTTTGTCTACCTTGGTTGCACCAACTACTTCAAGTCTTCAACGAAGTCACCCACAACTCCAAAAGCATTTTATCAATCAGTGGCAACATGTTAGCTTTTCAAATCATTCCCATCAGCCGGCGCGCCAAATCAGCATGCAATGCATGGCCACCCTGCATCATGCACACATCTGTCGTATTATAAATCATGCTCATCATCGCAGATCTCGAGCATAATTCAAATATGGAAATAGGATTGTAGAACATGCATAGCATGTTTTGCTTCATGTTCAACGAAAAGCCACTTACAATTATGTCAAAAGGTCGCACAAAATACAACATCAGCAATTGTGTCACAATGAAAATCAAATTGACAAATGAGAATGTTTAATATAGGGAAGAACAGAATCAAAGGTACTTGCCTTGTATGCTACGATATGTGCCACTGGGAGTCCTTGATTCCCAAACTGAGCAAACAGCGAGAGATCACCAATAAGGTCTAAGATCTTGTGGCGACATGGTTCATCACTGAAATGCAAAGGTGGATTCAACCAACCTTTACTGGCACTGCGGAAAAATAAAGTACTAATGAATATCGTAGAAGCACAATTGGCAACATGTGCATCATCAGTGCATAACTTCCTCGTGTATTTATCTACACAGTTTTCACCTTTGTACTTCACATAATTTTGCCTGGACAGCATATTAATCGATGTTTCATGCGTACTCCAGCCTAATCTACAGATACAATGAGATTAATTTCATCTTAAAGTAATGATACAGTGCTAGAGCAAGCGTTGACCTCGGAGGTCCTGGCCGTAAATGAAGGAAGACGGGAAAAGACACCTCTATCCCTAAAACTGTACACAGGACTTGAAAAGCCCTCAAAAAACCCCAACTATTGGGGTGCAACTGGCAAGGAGCCGAGTTGACAAAGTTCAAAAAATCACACTCGAACTGAGTAAAGGGAAGACAGACACCTAAATCCCTAAAAAAATAGTGGTACATATAAAAATTGGGAGGGTCGGTAGACCTCCCCATGTACACGCCCTCATCGGCCTGACAAGGTTCAAGCCGGATCATCCGGGAAATGGAGGGGTCACAAACCCTACATGATCTCGGGATCCCATTAACCTCAAGAAAGGAGCGAAAAATGCTCTGGACCCCCGCCATTTCATGCCTGACCCAGTCGTAACTAGGGATGCCTGGCTCTAGGCCCTTGGGCGGAGGCGGGTCCTTCTTCTCGACAGC